TTTTTGACTTTTTTTTTAAGACACTCGTTTAGATACACTTTCTTTTCTTTTAAAAGATCAAAAATTAAGCTTTTTCAGTCTGGAAATGGAATCTAAGCAAAACACTTTTTTTTACCATGGGATCCTAGTAACCTGGCTTCCTTTATTTCTGACTCTGGTACTGTAACTTTTGTTTGGTTCTTTATGATCTGGAGAGTACAGTGGTCCCTCGTTTTTCGTAGTTCTCGGGAATCATAGATTTCGGAAATCATAGGGATATTTTCGTATAAACATGGGCTCGCTAATCGTAGGTTGACTCGCGAATAGTAGTTCGTCCGGGACACGTACGCACGGTGTGAGCCGGGGCAGCCTCCCTACCCAGCCAGTCTGGCATTGTTTACCAGTGAGCGAAGGTCCCCTCACGTGCTCCTACGAAATATTTCATAATATTCCACTCATTTTAGTGCTTGCAAGTACTAAATAAGCTAACATGGCTCCAAAGAAAGCTCCTAGTGCCAAGCCTGTGGTAAAGAAGGTGAGAAATACGATTGAATTTAAGAAAAACATCATTGAACAATATGAAAGTGGCACAAGTGCGGCCAAACTGGCCAGGATGTATAAGAAACCCTACACAACCATATGTTCCATAGTGGCCAAGAAAAAGGAAATCAAGGACACTGTTGTTGCAAAGGGGGTAACTATGCTGACAAAAATGAGATCACCAGTACTCAAAGATGTTGAGAAGTTATTATTGGTGTGGATAAACGAGAAACAATTAGCAGGAGATACTCTTATGACTTCGATTATTTGTACATGTTGCCATGTTGGCAACATGTACAGTGACAGTCTTGGGCCATTTTAGGGAAGTGTTAAAGAGATGCCAGAAACAGAGCTCTCTCCACAGTTATTTTGCAAGACAGGACTCCAGTGACTCTCAAGGTGGTCCTAGTGGCATTAAGAAACAGAGAAGAGAAGCAACCCCAGAAAAGCAATTGTTACCTGAGGTGTTGCTGGAAGGGGATTCCCCTTCCAAACTGTAAACAATCCAATCTCTCTCCTCCTCCAGTCTCCCATACACTAAGAAGAATCTCCAATAAAGGTAAGTGTTATGCTGTTAATGTTTCATTCATCATTTCCCATTGTATTGTTTATGTACTACATCTATATGTCATGTAAAAAAATTTTTGTTTTAATACTTCTGGGTGTCAGGAACGGATTAATTGTATTTACATTATTTCTTATGGGGAAAATTGATTCGAAAATCGTAGATTTCGATAATAGTAGCAACTCCAGGAACGGATTAACTACGAAAAACGAGGGACCACTGTAATTTCTTTACTGTTTGTTTGGTTCATATCACTGGGAAAAAATGGACTGTTAACTATTACTGCGTCCGATAGTTTACCTTGCTCAGTTTTATCTTCTTGGAGAGCAAAGTAGTCACTGAACTGGTTATCTAAGTTGTTCTTCCATTCTTTTACTGCTTCTTCAACCTTTGTATTGAGAGATATTATTTGTTGAGTATGGCTATCTATGACTGTTTGGATGGTCTTGTCACAGTTGGTCATTCCTGGTGTTGATAACTTTTGTTCAAGACTGAGGATTTTGTTCTCGAGTTGTGTCATCCTGGTGTCTTGTTTTGTTAGTGTCTCTCGAAGATTCATATTTTCAATAACTAAGGTGGAGATGCATGACTTTAGGGTATCTGGATCGTTGGTCATACCTGAGAGACTACTTGGTAGGTTGAATCCGGGGAAGAGAGGGGTGGATGGGCTGGTGGCAGCCATGTTTGTTGTTATTGTTGTGGTGTGGCTTTGAGCGGTGGTGAGTGGGGTGGTTGCTGGGCTGGCGTCCTCCTGGTTACACTTGTTGAATAGTTGATTTTTCGGTGTTTTCTTGCTGGCCTTGGTGCTGTTTCCTCTTAGATTGCGCCTCATAATACTACAGGAATTGTTGTAGTTAAGAAGAAGTTGTAGTTATACAAAGCTTAGGGTTACGTAGTTCGGCTGGCAGCGGGGTGTTGCTTTCGGTTTGCGGGCAGTCTTCCTTTGATCTCTGTTATTTTCGATTTGTAGGTTTCACTGTTGGTCATCTTTGGTCATTCTGGGTGCTACGTTGGGTAGTGCAGTTTTGCTTGTAACTAGGTCATCATAGGAGCATTGGTGGCTCTGGTAGTTGGAGAAAAGTACGGAGCTTGGAGGTCGCTGCTGTTGTGCATTAAGGTATCTATGGAGACTAACAGTTTAGAGCCTGATGAATCTTGGATGGGACATGGATACATGGCTCTTCCTGTGTAATGGAATGATAATGGATGGATTGATGGGTGTCTGTTTCACTGTTAAGTTTGTGTAGTTCTGTTGAAGTTCTTTTAGTGTTATATTAGCGGTGGACAGCCCAAAATTATATTCACTTCCCTCCTTGTGGACATACTCCTTTGCCAGCTTATCAGTTCTGTTGTTCATTTGGAGGTCAGTGTGCGAAGGAATCCAAGGAAAGTTATTCCTACTGTATTATCATTTCTACTGATCTCACATTTATAGTCATTAGTTACTTCTATTTTTTGCTGCTATTTCCTTGGTTTTTGCTCTTGAGAACTTGAGTTCTGTATCTTCATCATATACATGTATTGCTATGTAACACACCAAAAAAAGTATCTTCTCACAAATTTTATATTGCTGTTGTTTACCTTAGAAAACAGCAATATTCCATATCCATGTGTGAAAAAAGTACAGTGGAACCCCAAATATCGGCCGTAATCTGTTCCAAAAGGTCTGCCTAAATTTGAAAAGGCCTTAATTCGAAGCAATATTTCCCATAAGAATTTATGTAAATACAATTAATCCATTCCATACTCCCAAAAATATTAACAAAAAATACATTTTTTAAAGATTACTTATAGTTTTATATACACAAAACAATGAGAACTAAATAAATAAATGAACATTTAAATCACTATTACATACCTTTACTGAAGACTCTTGTTGGCTTATGGAAAATAGGGAAGAGAAGAGAGGGAGGACTGATTATTGTTTGGAAGGGGAATCCCTGTCCATAAGGACTTCAGATATCAAAACCCTCTCGGGGCTTACTTCCTTCCCTGCCTGCTACACTCCCTGCATGCCTCCTACACTCTCTGCATGCCTGCTACACTACCTGCATGCCTGCTACACTACCTGCATGCCTGCTACACTCCCTGTCTGCCTGCTACACTCCCTGCCTCCCTTCCACACTCCGTTTCCCTGCTACACTCCCTGCCTCCCCGCTAAACTATCTTTTGCAACATTAGCTTCCTTGATTTCTACTTTCTTTGCCAGGATGGAAGTGATTGTTGATTTGGATTTCCCATACATCCTGGCAAGTTCTAGCACTCAAACACCACTCTCATATTTTTCAATAGCTTCTTTCTTAAATTCTATCATGTTTCTCACTTTCTTTACCAAAGGGCTGGCACTCTGAACTTTCTTTGGAGCCCATGGTGTCTTATTTCACAGTCACACTTAATAAACAAGCACAAAAGCCAATTGATTTTAACCCTTCGACTATTTACACCGTATATATACGTCTTCGCGCCACTGTTTCTGACGTATTAATACGCGTAAATTCTAGCGGCTTCAAACCTAGCGGGAGAAAGCTGGTAGGCCCACATGTGAGAGAATGGGTCTATGTGGTCAGTGTGCACTACATAAAAAAATCCTGCAGCACGCAGTGCGTAATGAGAAAAAAAAAACTGACCGTTTTTTTGTATTAAAACGCCGAATTTGAGGTGTATTTTCGTATAGTATTTATCGTTGTATTCTCATTTTCATGGTCTCAAGTGATAAAATGGAAAACATATTACAGAAATAGAGATGATTTTGATTACTTTCACAATGAAAACGACCTTGAAATGAGCTCAAAGTAGCGGAAATGTTCGATTTTTACCAATGTTCAGGAGTAAGCAAATCACACCACACATCCAATACACGTCAACTGGGGAGTCTAATATTCTTTCACTAGTGCACTTATATTATTTATACCATTTTTACAATAATGCAGTAGTCTGCATACCAGTAAATTTTGCATTTTTTTGTATGAATAAAAAATCAAAATAGAAAGCAATAGTAATATAAGAGAGGCCTAGAGACGTGACTAATGAACAGAGGAAATGTTATTTTAGTGCCAAGAATGTCTACATTGTTTATTCTGGACCCTATTTTGAAATTGGCATGTTTTTTAATTTGTGTGAAATTGGCCAAATTGCCAATTTCTGACCACTTTATTGGGTAGTTCAAATCGGTAAATGGGCAGTTTCTTGTACCCAACTGATAGATAAAATGGAGTTCTAAAGAAATAGCTATGAGTTTGGTTGACTGGAACAAAGGAATTGGCTATAAACAGGGCTCAAATTCGGCGAAATCGCCGATACGTATATGTCACTGAGACTGCTAACTTCGCGGGAGCGTAATTCCGTGAGTTTTTGACCAAATTTCATACTTTTGGTGTCATTACCATCGGGAAAAGATTCTCTATCATTTCATAAGAAAAAATTTTTTTTTTTTTTTTTTTTTTTTTTTTAATTTATCGACATAGAATGACAGTTTTAGAAAGGGGCCTGCGACAGTCAAAGGGTTAAGGAAATGTTTGGATGAATGATTGGAGTATATGCTCATTCACCGAGAGACACAGGGAGACTGACTCATCTACGCAGCGGCATCCCGGCGGGAAGTGGGCTGACACATATAATACAGCTGATTTATGAGGCACCGGCCAAATTACGGAGCAAATTTTCGGCCCAAAAACCAGCCTAAATACAAATCGGCCAATAAACCAGCGGCTGATATTTGAGGTTCCACTGTACTACAGTGTCTTTTGATATCCAATTCTTTGAAAAATGTCCGGAGACATACTGTATATTTTGGACAATAGCAGATTTTTTTTTTAGTCTTGTGGCCTGCACATTAAATGAGCAATTTTTCCTTTACTTTGGCCTATACTGTACAAAAATACCATAATCAATATAAAGTTTTATTATTCTTGAACAGATCAAACTTGGAAGTAGAGAAGAAGCAAGAGATGGCATCAACCGCACAGCACTGCGAGAAATCAAACTTCTACAGGAAGTTCACCATCCCAACCTCATTGGTCTTCTGGATGTATTTGGCTACAAATCCAATGTCTCACTTGTGTTTGATTTTATGGATACTGATCTGGAAGTAAGTTTCATATAATTTAGTATATAGATAGCTAAAAAATTATATTCTGTACTGCATTCAAAATACACTTGAATGATGATTGACCTATAACAAAAATGTACATGCTGGAAGAACAGGGAAATACATGTAGGTTAGATGAAATAAAGAGTATAAAACAGACTAGATCATATTTAGATATGACAGCCTAGAACATTCTCTCATGGCAAACTCTTTGTAGGGTACCTCTGGGGAAATACGATATCAGAGATATAGATCAATAGCATACTTTTTTTTATTGTACAAAGCTGTTATCATGCTCAGGTATCTATCTTTTTTGTTCCTTGTTTAATGTTTCATAGCACATAAGCTAACTTAGCGGCAGAGAAGGGTGAGTCCAGGAAGCTTAGGTAAGCCTCTGCATAAAAAATTCTTCCATATTAAATCTCTGTGTGGTAGTTGATGCCATAAATTGTACTCATTAGCATTGTTGTTATATATAATTTATGTATTTTTCATATAATTTGTTAAATAGCATATATTCTTTCAGGTTATAATCAAAGATACAGATAACATCATTTTAACACCAGCCAATATAAAAGCATACATCATGCAAACATTGCAGGGACTCGAATTTCTCCATCTACACTGGATTTTACATAGGGTATGAAAATCTACTTTTTTTAAATATAATTATGTTGTAAATTTGATATCTCAGGTAGGGATTTAGCATATGATAGGGTGGGGGCTAGTAACCCCTTCTCCTGTACAAATTACTAAATTTTAAAAGAGAAACTTTTGTTTTTCTTTATGGGCCACCCTGTCTTGGTGGGATACAGCCGGTTTGTTGAAAAAAAAAAATATAGGGTGGATAAGGAAGCAATGTGGCATGGGCTTTGATTGTTGCAGTAAGGAGAAGACAGGAGGCAGTAGAGATGTCATGTTTGAGGGCAGTATGTGGTGTGAATATTATGCAGAGAATTCTGAGTTTGGCAATTAAAAGCAGGTGTGTAGTTAACAAAAGTTTTATTCAGAGAGCTGAAGAGGTGGTTTCCACATTTAGCAAGAAAGGATGAAAATTAAAATGATTAGCTGGGGTGGAGGGAAAGAGGGATAGTGTAGGAAAATATGTAGAGAGGGGGTAAGGGAGGTTTTGAGTGTCAGGGGTTTGGACATTGAACATTCTTGTGTGAACGTGTTAAATGGAAGCAAGTGGTTTTTATGATTTGATGTGCTGTTGTAGTGTAGTGTGATGGATTAAGCAAAATGTCTATATTAATGTATTATACACAATGCACCTCAGAGTGATTATTATTGTTACAGTGGACCCCCGAGTTTCGTGATTAACCCATTCTAGAGAATCTGCCAACTGGCGAAATTCACGATTGGCAAATCTATTTTCCCCATAAGAAATAATGGAAACCCAATTAATCCGTTTCAGACAGCCAAAAGTATTAACAAAAAATAGTTTTTTAAAGATTAAATATAGATTTACATACAGAAAACGATGACAAATAAATATAAAGCACTAATAAAATGGATAATGAACATTTAACATCACACTGAACCTTTATTGATTCATGTTGGTGTAGGAGGTAGGTAGGAGGCAAGAGGAAGGCGAGTTTATTATGCTTCAGTATGATGCTAATATCATCTCTACAGCTTATTTATCTATCACAATTCATCTAATATGACATTATAAAAAATGTTAATAACATAGAAACATGATATATACTCTAGAATGAATAAAATGTCATAATGTATGAGAGGAGTAAATGGTGTAAGTGCTATTGTTGGGTTTAAGGACCGCCACTGAGAGAAGCTGTGTTGGTGGCAGTGGAGGCTTCGGCCACCACCACCATCACACTTAAACAATGTATGTAATTTATAAATAAGAAATATTTACATTTTAACCCTTTCAGGGTCCGTGCCGTAGATCTACGGTTTTATGTTGAGGGTCCAAACCGTAGATCTACGCCAAAATTCTAGTGGCGTCAAATTTAACGCAAGAAGGCTGGTAGGCATACATCTGAGAGAATGGGTCTGGGTGGTCAGTGTGCGCACTATAGAAAAAATCTGGACGCCTGCATGGCATTGTGGGAACGCCGCCAAGGTAGCTTTGTTCATCATGCCTGGTGGCAAGGAAGTTCTCACTCCCCACTCACTCTCCGGGCGAATTCCGACTCTCCTCTTCACAACTTACAGTTCTAAGACTGATGGAAGTGGATCTGAAGAGGAATTCTATGGTTTTGAACCATATGGTACCACTGTACCATATGGTACAATAGTACCATATGGTACATTGGTGCCATGTCATACAATGGTATCACATGGTACAATGGTACCATATGGTTCAATGTACATATGGTACATTGGTGCCAGTCATACAATGTATATATGGTACAATGGTACCATATGGTACAATGTACCATATAGTACATTGTATCATATGGTACATTATTCAATATGGTACATTGTACCATATGGTACAGGGTACAGAGACCCTAATGGAAATAAGTCTGACTTTTTTGGTTATCCGTGGTTCTCTAAACATATGCTGCTATGCATGATAATCTATGTAACTTTATTTGTGTATTCCTAGATAAACTTACGATGCCACATGTGCTTGAGTAAGTTTATTCAGGTGTACACAAATACAGTTACATAGATTATCATACATAGCAACTTATGTATAAAATCCTAAGATAACCCAAAAAAGCCAGGGTGACTTATTTCCATAGGGATCCCTGTATCTGTACCATATGGTGTCCTGTACCATATGGTACCCTGCACCATATGGTACCCTGCACCATATGGCACCCTGCACCATGTGGTACCCTGCACCATATAGTACCCTGCACCATATGGTGCCCTGCACCATATGGTACCCTGCACCATATGGTATCCTGTACTGTATGGTACCCTATACCATATAGTACAATGTACCATATGGTACCCTGTAACATATGATACCATGTACCATATGGTCAGTTACAGATGTTGCCACCAGGCACCAGGCAAGACTGAGTGAGTGGCGACGCAAGCTAGCTAGTGACTCGGCAGTTTCCAAGTAAGCGCTTTGTCATCCACCTTAAGGAACATGTCGAGTGGCTGTACATTTGTAAATATATAATACAACATTACTAATATACAACATTTTTGCGTATTTTTGTTGTAAACAATTATTGTAAACAAAATAATGATGAAAATATTAGTGTGTTTATTGTGTTGAATACAACAGTACCCTATAGTACCATATGGTACAATGAACCATATGGTATTGTGCCATATGGTACAATGTAACATATGGTACCATTGCACCATATAGTACCATTGTACCATAATGTACCATTGCACCATATGGTACCATTGTATCATATGGTACCATTGTACCAAATGGTGCCATTGTACCATATTCTACCATATGGTACCATTGTATCATATGGTGCCATTGTACCATATGGTACCACTGCACCATATGGTACCATTGCACCCTATGGCACCATTGTACCATATAGTACTATATGGTACCATTGTATTCAACACAATAACCGCACTAATATTTTCATCATCTTGTTTACAATAAACTTGTGAACAAGTTTTGTAAGAAATATAATGATAAATTAGTGCAGTTATTGTGTTGAATACAATGAGTGTACACTTATACAAATTACATTATATTGGTCTCACAGACCGCAAATGTTACTAGAAAAAGAAAAAATTAGAAAAGAAAAGAAAAAGTATAAAAAACGTAAAATAAAAAAAATGTGATTTCGCTGATGTTGCCGCCACCCGGTCATTTTGGGTCAACTTCCTGCTGCTGTATCTCGGTAAGTATTGATCAAAAATTTTTTTTTGTTTTATTACCTTCACAAAAATATTTTCTTTAATTCTGTAATATTTTTTTTTTTTTTTTTTTAATTTCTTGGACACTGGGGCACCCCTTCAGATTTTGGCCTTGGACCCTGAAAGGGTTAATTTATAAATAAGAAACATTTATATTTTAATTTATAAATAAGTAAGTTTATTCAGGTATACACAAATACAGTTACATACATAGATTATCATACATAGCAGCATATGTGTAAAGTATCCAGGATAACCCCAAAAATTCAAGAGTGACACATTTCCATTGGTGTCCTTTTATATTTACACTTTTATATTTACACTTACCTTGAAGGAGATGTTAGTTTAATTAGTTTGATTAAGGAGATGTTGGCAGAGGTTTAGGGTGGTGGAAGATAGCAGGGCGGTGTATGTTCAGCGGTCCTATTCACATCCAACAACATTGGAGAGTTACTCTCATGTTGTTTTTCTTTTGCTTACTCGCTTAACTTACTTACTACACTGTTAATTCTACACTTTATCGCTAGCTGGAGCTATAGCCTTTATCAATACCTGCTGCTTTAGTATCATACATATTGTAGAATCACTGAATCACAGATGGCACATTCTCCCCTCTCTCTTCCTCCTCTACTTTAGTACTTTGCTATGAGTTTTTTCTTGAATTCTATCTTGTTTCTCACCTTCTTTACCAAAAGGCTGGCACTAGGAGCTTTTTTTGAGCCCATGGTGGCTCATTTAGCAGTTGCAAGCACAAAAAACAATGAATTATTATGAAATGTGTTGTATGAACTCATGGGGTGATGGTCACATGCTGGTAAACAATGGCACACTGAGTGTGAATAGTGCAGGAGACTGGCTTTGTGTGCATGCTGACGGGCAGACGCCTACCAGAAGGTCGCCAAATCACGAGTCCAATCACGAACCATGAAGCTAAATTTTGCTGAAAAAACTTGCCGAAAGTTGGATTTCACGAAAGTCGCGGCCGCCGAACGGCGGGGGTCCACTGTATTATTATCATTATTAATATGGCATCTTCAAGACTAATAACACACTGTTTATGATTTTAATGTGTACCTGCTTGCCAGCACAGGCACAAGATGTGGAGTTTAAACCAGTTAAGTTTAGTGACAAAGTGTAGCATTAAGAGTGTAGTGATTAAGCCATAAAAAAAGGATGAAACAAAATAAACTCCTGACAGCATAAGCCGCTCTCCCTATCTTCTGCAAGGTATGTAAATGGTGTACTTACACCAGTTCATTTCTACATTATGGTTTTCTTATGAAAGAAATTTGCCCAATATGAGGATTTCCTTGTAAATATATATTTTTACAGTGGTCTTGAGAGCACACCAGTGTTATGGGCACTTAAAAAGTACATTATGTATATTTAACCCTGGATGTTCCCTCAAGGGAGGCTCCTTGATTCTGGCTTGCTAGGCATGCTAGTGGCCTTCTTTGTAATTGTTGTTTTATAATATGTAAACCACCCATTGTAATCTTATAGAGAAATAAACATTTCAATTTCATTTTCAAATTTCAATCTAATGCAGTTACCCTCACAAACTCTGTTTTCTTTTATACTAACATGTCTGAAGGAGGAAAGAATGGGAAGACATTTTCATAACTTGAGCGAGAATGCCCATGACTACCATCCTCCCCTGCCACCATACATATTTTATTCATTCTAGAGTGTATATCAGGTTTTCATGTTATTTTTATTGTTTATTATGTCATATTAGATGAATTTGATAGATATATAAGCCGTACAGCTGATATTAACATCATATTGAAGTACTATTTTATCATGGCTCCTGACAGCAGGAATTCCCCTGGAACAAATTAATGGCATTTCAATTAATTTAAATGAGAAAAATTAACTCAGCATACGAACAAATCAGGATGTGAACAAGGTCACGGAACAGATTAAATTCACAAGCAGAGGTTCTACTGTATTTCTAGACAATAATATGTGTAAAGTAAAAGGACACAAGTGCAACTAATGTGACATTTATTGTGGCAATGTTTCGCTCTCCAGGAGCTTTATCAAGCCATTACAAACAATACATGGACACAGAGGGTATATAAAGGCTCAGAGTGAGGTGCAGTACCATTTCGATGTTCACTAGTGGTAGTAGTAGTAGTAGTGGTAGTGACAAAAGTAATACAATATGGTAGAGCAATTAATTCGTACATGAGTAAAAGGATATAAAAGCTATTACTTGGGTAACATAAAAATAGGTTGGACAAATATAAACTGCATAGAGGCAGCTTGTTTCAGTGTTCACTCTCTATAATGTGCTTTGTGTAGTATAACAGGAGAGACTATGTGATGGCAGGGTTTACTGTTTTCAGGAGGATTCTTGCTAAGACTTCGGAGATGGTGAGGCTGCCGTTGTTTTGTTTAATTGTATTCGAAACAGCGATCAGTGCTGATTCGTGGCACTTGCGTCTGCGGAAATTAGTTTCTTTGATCACTAATTGGGCGTCTCTGAATTTCATGAGATGATTGGTGGAATTTCGGTGTTGTACACAGGCGTTGTTCAAGTTATTGTTCCTACATGCGTAAATGTGTTCATTGAGGCAGGTGTCGAGGTTTCTTGCTGTTTCACCTCCGTAAATCTTGTCACAGCCTCCACAGGGTATAGTGTAAACTCCTGCATTGACTGGTTCGTGGTGCTTGGATTTTGTCCTGGTTAGATCCTTCATTGAAGTGCTAGAAGCGATGGCGACTCTGGTGTTAGCTTGTGAAAGTACTTTTGAGACGTTCAGTGCAACCTGGCTGTTGAGAAGAATTATAACTTTGTTGGGAGTGGTGTTGATGCGTGGAGAGTTAATGATCTGAAGAGCTCTTTTCTTGCAGTCTTTGATGAAAAAAAAAGGAAAATGTAACTCAGTGAATGTTTGGTGAATGTATGTACATTCCTCGTCAAGAAACTCAGGACTACAAATTCGGTATGCTCTTAGGAAAAATCCGATGATGATGCCTCTTTTGGTCTTGGTATCTTGACTGGAATAGAAGTGTGTGAGATCATTTTTATTGGTGGGTTTCCGATAAACTTGAAATCTTAGGTTGTTGTCTGCTTTGTGAATGAGGACGTCGAGGAAAGGTAGCTTGTCATTGGACTCTTCTTCTAGTGTAAACTGGATCGCCGGTTCAACTGTGTTGAGCCTTGCCTGAAGATCCCGTACATCAAAACGTTTTGGAGTTATTACGAGGACATCGTCCACGTAACGTAACCAAGTGACGCTTGAAGGGATGATGTTGGCGAAGTGTTCGGACTCTAGGTGTTCCATGTATAAGTTGGCTAGGACGGCACTTATGGGGGACCCCATTCCCATGCCGTAGGTTTGTTTGTAGAGCTTGTTATTGAAAGAAATTAACACAGAGTTCAATCAAGTCAACAAAATCTCCGGGAGGTAGAGGAAGATTAAGGTCCTGATTGACTTTACGTCGTAGAACCTCGATGGCTTTTTTGGTAGGTACTTTTGTGAAGAGGTAAGTCACATCCAAACTGCTTAGTTTCTTGTTACGGATGGAGAGGTTACGGATGCGGTTGAGAAGGTCGCCTGAGTGTTTAAGATGAGCGGGGCTGATGGTCCCCAGAAGGCAGGAAAGATGTTTGGCGACCTTCTCAACCGCATCTGTAACCTCTCCATCCGTAACTAGAAACTAAGCAGTTTGGATGCGACTTCCCTCTTCACAAAAATACCTACCAAAAAAGCCATCGAGGTTCTACGACTTAAAGTCAATCAGGACCTTAATCTTCCTCTACCTCCCGGAGATTTTGTTGACTTGATTGAACTCTGTGTTAATTTCTTTCAATAACAAGCTCTACAAACAAACCTACGGCATGGGAATGGGGTCCCCCATAAGTGCCGTCCTAGCCAACTTATACATGGAACACCTAGAGTCCGAACACTTCGCCAACATCATCCCTTCAAGCATCACTTGGTTACGTTAAGTGGACAATGTCCTCGTAATAACTCCAAAACGTTTTGATGTACGGGATCTTCAGGCAAGGCTCAACGCAGTTGAACCGGCGATCCAGTTTACACTAGAAGAAGAGTCCAATGACAAGCTACCTTTCCTCGACGTCCTCATTCACAAAGTAGACAACAACCTAAGATTTCAAGTTTATCGGAAACCCACCAATAAAAATGATCTCACACACTTCTATTCCAGTCAAGATACCAAGACCAAAAGAGGCATCATCATCGGGTTTTTCCTAAGAGCATACCAAATTTGTAGTCCTGAGTTTCTTGACGAGGAATGTACATACATTCACTAAACATTCACTGAGTTACATTTTCCTTCTTTTTTCATCAAAGACTGCAAGAAAAGAGCTCTTCAGATCATTAACTCTCCACGCATCAACACCAACACCACTCCCAACAAAGTTATAATTCTTCCCAACAGCCAGGTTGCACTGAACGTCTCAAAAGTACTTTCACAAGCTAACACCAGAGTCGCCATCGCTTCTAGCACTTCAATAAAGGATCTAACCAGGACAAAATCCAAGCACCACGAACCAGTCAATGCAGGAGTTTACACTATACCCTGTTGAGGCTGTGACAAGATTTACGTAGGTGAAACAGCAAGAAACCTCGACACCCGCCTCAATGAACACATTTACGCATGTAGGAACGATAACTTGAACAATGCCTGTGTACAACACCAAAATTCCACCAATCATCTCATGAAATTCAGAGACGCCCAATTAGTGATCAAAGAAACTAATTTCCGCAGACGCAAGTGCCTCGAATCAGCACTGATCGCTGTATCGAATACAATTAAACAAAACAACGGCAGCTTCACCATCTCTGAAGTCTTAGCAAGAATCCTCCTGAAAACAGTAAACCCTGCCATCACATAGTCTCTCCTGTTATACTACACAAAGCACATTATAGAGAGTGAACACTGAAACAAGCTGCCTCTATCCTCTTACCCAAGTAATAGCTTTTATATCCTTTTACTCATGTACGAATTAATTGCTCTACCATATTGTATTACTTTTGTCACTACTACTACTACTACTACTACCACTAGTGAACATCGAAATGGTACCTCACTCTGAGCCTTTATATACCCTCTGTGTCCATATATTGTTTGTAATGGCTTGATAAAGCTCCTGGAGAGCGAAACGTTGCCACAATAAATGTCACATTAGTTGCACTTGTGTCCTTTTACTTTACATATTGTCGGTAATTCTACCAACTTTATTACAATAGTATGTGACTAAGGTAGGTGAAAATATTCACCTGTCACTGTGCTTGTGACTATTTGAGTATTATTTAAGTGCCTAATTTTAGTGTCAGAAGAAAGATTTACTATGAAATCACAAGAACTAATACAAATTGTAATTATCAGAACAGAAATTATACAAATTAAAAAAAAATGAGAAAAATAGGTACTATATCGGCAGCAATTCTGCAAACAGCAGTGCTTCATGTTGCCGGAAGGTGAGTGACAAGCCCAGACTTTGCGGCCTTGTATCTCTGTAAGTACCGACTCTAGAATGTTTTGTTTTTTTTACATTATGTAAAAAAGTCCTCTTCATTTAATTTTTTTTTTTTTTTTAATTGGAGCACTGGGTGAGTGAACGTAGATCTATGTTTGGACAGTTAACCCTTAAAATGTCCAAACGTAGATCTACGTTTGCACCACTAATGCTCCAAACGTAGATTATTTTTTTTTTCTTTTCATTTGCAAGCATGTAAAATAAAACGTAGATTTACGTTCAGAGCACTAGCAGTGCAAACATAGATCTATGCTCAGAGTGCTAGCAATGCAAATGTAGATCTACTTTTGGACAGTTTAAGGGTTAAGGGATTAATAACACTTATTCCTTAATTCCTGAATTAATGAATATTACCTTTCTTTGTATTTCAGGATCTAAAACCTAATAATCTTCTAGTAAATTCTGCAGGAGTATTAAAGATTGGAGATTTTGGATTAGCACGATTTTTTGGCTCCCCAAATAGACAATATTCACATCAAGTAGTCACTAGATGGTATAGGTAAGAATTTTATTCATTAATATTAGAATGTAAACCTTAGAACATTTGAGTTTCTATGATACAAATCCTATGACCCTACAACCTCTGTTTTTAAGAACACTCATGCTCTAATCTTACCATGGCTCTCACTATTTCTTGATGACCTGAAATGACCTCTGATGTTTTCACTTTTACCTTGATTATGATCCAGGATGTACTGAAATTTCATCCAGCTTTCACTTTACCTGTAAGTTTGTTGGTTATCTGTGAATTGTACAGTCACTGTACTATTTTGCCTATTATTCATTATTCTCCATCTGAGTTTGCAAATATAATTTTTGTTTTCTTTTTTCTCTTATTTTATTTGTATCATTGTTTATTGCCTTAATAAACCATTTGATGGGGAAAGGGAGGAGTTCAGCCAAGTTTCCCTGTAGAAACTTGTGTGTATATGGTTGGTAGGTAAGACATAGGCAACATTTAGGCAACTTTATTCCGAAACGTTTCGCCTACACAGTAGGCTTCTTCAGTCAAGTACAGAAAGTAGGCAGGAGCAGTAGAGATGTGAAGATGATGTAATCAGTCCATCACCCTTGAAGTCGTAGATTTGAGGTTGTCAGTCAAGGGTGATGGACTGATTACATTTGAAGGGTGAGTGAAGGGATGTGAAACTGTTCAGATATTCTAATCATTACAGAAATAGATATCATATACTGGAAAACAAGATAATAATGCAGATAAAAATAATTATGCTGTATATGCCAGGCCACTATCCTGATAACTGAAATTTATCATACATTTTTTATAGGATGACTGAGAGGGTGTATAAGTTTGGGATGGAGGGAAGCAAGGGTTGGGGTCATCCCAGGAAAGGTTGGAGGGAGGGGGTAAAGGAGATTTTGAGTGTAAGAGTTGGACATCCAACAGGCTTGTATGTGCATTCGATGGGAATGAGTGGAAGCAAATGGTTTTTATGACAATGTGCTATTGGAGTGTGAGCAGGGACCGTGAGATGGAAAGTACAGTGCCTGCACTCAGAAACAGGGATGGGGATATTGCAGTTCGAAGGACCATCTGAACAGTGATATCAGCATACTTCTGACAAAACAGATATTGAATGAGCGACAGCAAAAGTGTTTCCTCTTTTTCACATCGCCCTACCTCAGTGAGTGATGGGTAGTGTGTTAAAAGAAAATTCTGTGTGTAAAATATTGTTTATAATTATTTCAGGAGTCCTGAACTATTGTTTGGGGCACGCTCATATGGAACTGGGGTTGACATGTGGGCTGTGGGGTGCATCCTGGCAGAAATGCTAGTACGGTGCCCTTATTTTCCTGGAGATTCTGACCTGGACCAGCTCACTAGAATATTCACTGCCCTCGGCACACCCACAGAAGAGACATGGAAGGTAAGGTTAAAATAATGTATTTAACCTTTAGACTGGGTACAAATTACTTGTATACAACACTTGTATGCCAATTTTTCTTGCCTCTAAATATGCCACCTGCTGATATTTTTTGCCTTAGCTCAACTGGTAGTCTCCTACAACCTCCTCAATGCCTGGGAAAAAATCTAGGAGCAAACAGGCCCATGCAGTACATCATAGGTAACACTGCCGTACTAGCACATGTAAGCAAAAAAACCAGGACCTGTTGTCATCACCTGCTTCCTTACCAGCAAACAAGGTGTAGAACTGGCAGTTAAACTGTGTGACTTATTTCTGCATTTCAAGGCTTATTATTGCACATTAAAACTATTGTGATATGAGGATTTCCTTGTAAATATATATTTTTACAGTGGTCTTGAGAGCACACCAGTGTTATGGGCACTTAAAAAGTACATTATATATATTTAACCCTGGATGTTCCCTCAAGGGAGGCTCCTTGATTCTGGCATGTGGGGTTCTTGATTCAAGAAATTAGACTTGTCCTTTCCCTTTTTAATGCTGATCCTGACTCATTCTTATTCCTCACTGAGTTTAGTATTTCTGGAGGTGTGAAGTACAGTGTCTTCACTCTGAAGGAGGGGTGGGGATGTTGCAGTTCAGAAGGTTTTTCGAGCTGTAATGTCAGCACACTTCTGGCAAGACAGAGTGAATAAATGACTGAAAAAGTTTCTTTCTCTTCAGGTTGCCCTACCTTGGTGGGAGACAGCCAGTTTGTTAAAAAGAAATAAATAAGTACAGTAGGGCCCCACTTATATGGCAGGTTAGGTTCCAAGCTACTGCCGTAAAGCGGAACGCCCTTTCCACTTATAAATGGATATAAATGTTAGTAACAAGTTTACACTAACATATATTAAGTTAACAGTAGAACTAAGGATTAAAAAAACAATAAAGTAAAATCCACATATAGTACACTCATTACTTACCTTAAAATGTGTGTAATCTTAATGCAGGGTGAGAAGTGAGTAGTGTTTATTGTAGGAAGTCAGGTGGTAGGTATGGTAGCTTGCCTGGCTACCACAACTACACAATATACAATATTTAAAGTGCCCCAGAGCTATAAAATACTCATACAGTACACTCATTACTTACCTTAAAATATGTGTAGTCTTAATGTAGGGTGAGAGGTGAGTACAGCCTCTCCTCACTTCGCAACTTACTTGTTTACCGACCACTCAGAGTTACAACCAGTTGTCCAACCAACATGCAAACATGAGTAATGTATATTAGAGGTGATTTCCTCTTTTCTGTTTATTACAGTATACAGTACACTACTGTATAAAGATTTAAAAATATACTAAAAATGTTGTAAATGGTGCAAAAGTGACATTAAAAAATATCTGAAGATGGTTGACACAAACCCCCTACCAGTACAGCATGCGCCTCGCTTAATGACCAACTCACTTACCTACCTACTTTTAGGAATGGAGCTTGGTCATTGAGTGAGGAGAGCCTGTATTTATTGTAGAAAGTCAGGTGTGGTAGCTTGCCTGGCTACCACACCTACACGAAATATACAACATAAAATTTAAAGCGCCTCAGAACGATTATTATTATTAGTTTTATTAACACACTGGCCAATTCCCACCAAGGCAGGGTGGCCCGAAAAAGAAAAACTTTCACCATCATTCACTCCATCACTGTCTTGCCAGAAGGGTGTTTTACACCACAGTTTTTAAACTGTAACATTAACACCCCTCCTTCAGAGTGCAGGCACTGTACCTCCCATCTCCAGGACTCAAGTCCGGCCTGCCGGTTTCCCTGAATCCTTTTATAAATGTTACTTTGCTCACACTCCAACAGCATGTCAAGTATTAAAAACCATTTGTCTCCATTCACTCCTATCAAACACGCTCACGCATGCCCACTAGAAGTCCAAGCCCCTCACACACAAAACCTCCTTTACCCCCTCCCTCCAACCTTTCCTGGGCCGACCCCTACCCCGCCTTCCTTCCGCTACAGACTGATACACTCTTGAAGTCATTCTGTTTCGCTGCATTCTCTCTACATGTCCGAACCACCTCAACAACCCTTCCTCAGCCCTCTATACAACAGTTTTGGCAATCCCGCACCTCCTCTTAACTTCCAAACTACGAATTCTCTGCATTATATTCACACCACACATTGCCCTCAGACATGACATCTCCACTGCCTCCAGCCTTCTCCTCGCTGCAACATTCATCACTCATGCTTCACACCCATACAAGAGTCGTTGGTAAAACTATACTCTCATACATTCCCCTCTTTGCCTCCAAGGACAAAGTTCTTTGTCTCCACAGACTCCTAAGTGCACCGGTCACCCTTTTCACCTCATCAATTCTATTATTCACCTCATCTTTCATAGATCCATCTGCTGACACGTCCACTCCCAAATATCTGAATACATTCACCTCCTCTATACTCTCTCCCTCCAATCTGATATCTAATCTTTCATCACCTAATCTTTTTGTTATCCTCATAACCTTACTCTTTCCTGTATTCACTTTTAATTTTCTTCTTTTACATTTTTTTTTATATAAACAAGTTGGCCGTCTCCCACCGAGGCAGGGTGACCCAAAAAGAAAGAAAATCCCCAAAAAGAAAATACTTTCATCATCATTCAACACTTTCACCTCACTCACACATAATCACTGTTTTTGCAGAGGTGCTCAGAACACAACAGTTTAGCAGCATATACGTATAAAGATACACAACATATCCCTCCAAACTGCTAATATCCCGAACCCCTCCTTTAGAGTGCAGGCATTGTACTTCCCATTTCCAGGACTCAAGTCCGGCTATATAAAAATAACTGGTTTCCCAGAATTCCTTCACTAAATATTACCCTGCTCACACTCCAACACATCGTCAGGTCCCAAATACCATTCATCTCCATTCACTCCTATCGAACACGCTCATGCACGCCCGCTGGAAGTCCAAGCCCCTCGCCCACAAAACCTCCCTTAGCCCTTCCTTCCAACCTTTTCAAGGACGACCCCTACCCTGCCTTCCTTCTCCTAAAGATTTTACATACCCTACAAATTCATCCACCAACCTCTGCAACTTCTCTTCAGAATCTCCCAAGAGCACAGTGTCATCAGCAAAGAGCAATTGTGACAACTCCCACTTTGTGTGATTCTTTATCTTTTAACTCCACGCCTCTTGCCAAGACCCTTGCATTTACTTCTCTTACAACCCCATCTATAAATATATTAAACAACCACAGTGACATCACACACCCTTGTCTAAGGCCTACTTTTACTATTATATTATTATTATTATTATTACAGTAGACTGTTATATTACACAGTAGCTATGTTCCTGAAAACACAGTGTTAGGTACAGTGGACCCTCGGTTTTCGTGTTTAATCTGTTCCAGAGCCATCAACCAAAACTGAAATTGGCCAAAACCGAAACCATTTTCCCCATAAGAAATAATGTATATGGAATTAATCCATTAAAGACACCCAGAAATATCAACAAAAAAATTTTTTTTTACCTTAAAGATAGTTACATGCACAAAAGAATGACCATTACACATGACACTTACCTTTATTGAACGCTGTTGTTGCTGGAAGGAAGACAGAAGACAGGGAAGAGGGGAGAGGGAAGATAGGTTATTGTTTTGAAGGGGAATCCCCCTCCATAAGGACTCTAGGTACCAAGTCCTTATCTGGGGTCACTTCCTTCCTTTGTTTTTTAATGCCACTAGGACCAACTTGAGTCACTGGACCCCTGTCACACAAAATATGTCCAGATAGGTCTGTTTCTGGTGTCTCTTTAAGATTTGCCTAAAATGGAACGTGGCATTGTCATTGTAAAAGTCAGCAGCACGGATTGCAACAGCTTTCTCAGGATGATGTTCCTCCGCAAATGAATGCACTTTATGTAATAAAGTTGGTAGAATTACCGACAATATGTAAAGTAAAAGGACACAAGTGCAACTAATGTGACATTTATTGTGGCAACGTTTTGCTCTCCAGGAGCTTTATCAAGCTTGATAAAGCTCCTGGAGAGCGAAACGTTGCCACAATAAATGTCACATTAGTTGCACTTGTGTCCTTTTACTTTACAGAATGCACTTTAGTCCACATTACACAAATCTCCTTAATCTTTGAAGAAGGCACCTTCCGTCTCTCTTCCTCCTCCTCTGAAGCAATTTCCTGAGCTATGGTCTGTTGCTGTTGCAGATGAAGCTCTTGCAGCTCATCAGTGGTTAGCTCTTGATTGTGGTCCTCCACCAACTCTTCCACATCCTGGCCACTCACATCCAACCCCATGGAATTCCCCAATGCTACAGTTGATTGCACAACAGATGTAGGGTTGACAGGGTCAGCCTCAAACCCTTCAAAATCTTCTTTTGGACACAATCTGGCCACAATTTTCTCCAAGTAGAGTTCATCATCCTGGAAATCACTCCTTGCCAAGCCTTATCTATAAGGTTTATGCAGTGGAAGATACTGAAGTGATTCTTCCAGAACTTCTTAGGGTCAAGAGTTCAAGGTTATGTCAAAGCACCTTTGAAACATTGCTTTGGTGTACAGTTTTTTGAAGTTTGCAATGATCTGCTGGTCCATGGGCTGGATGAGAGGAGTGGTGTTAGGAGGCAAGAACTTCACTGTTACAAAACTGAATTCCTTAGACAATTGGTCTTCCAAGTCTAGAGGACGACCAGGAGCATTGTCCATTAACAGGAGGCACTGGAGTGGCAATTTATTATCCAGGAGGTATTTCTTCACACTCGGGCCAAACTTCATTGAACCGTTCCAGGAAAATTTCCCTGGTGACCCATGCCCTACTGGTAGCCTTCCACATCACACACAATTTACTCTTGACAATACTGTTTTTCTTGAACACTGGGATTTTCAGAGTGATACACCAGTAAAAGCTTCACTTTGAAATCCCCACTAGCATTACCACACAACAAGAGAGTTAGCCAGTCTTTCATAGGCTTGTGTCCTGGGAGTGCCTTTTCCTCCTGTGTG